GGCGCTCTCGCCGAGGCGCCGGCTATATTTTCATTGAAAATGAGGCTCGCGCTCGAGCGGTTTGGGGGACCGCCAAAACCGGACCCTCAACAACATCAGCGCTCCCGCTCGAGACTTCCTCCTTTTTTACTCAGGGCTGGTGTTGTTGCTCGCCGCCGAAAGCCGCTGTCCTGACAAAACCAGCGCTCCCGCTCAAGACTTCCTCCCGTTTTACCTTGGACTGGCGCGCTAGTCTTTCTCTCATCGGCGCCGCCCCCAGCAAAAACAACGCCCCCGCATGAGGCTTATTTCCTTTTTTACTCAAGGCGGTGCTCCTCTTCGCCGCCGAAAACCGCCGCCCCGACAAAACCAGCGCTCCCGCCCGAGACATCCTTCCGATTTACGTTGGACTGGCGCCCAACTTTCTTTTGAATTGGTGCCGCTCCCAGCAAGAACAACGCTCCCGCTCGAGGCTGCCTCCCTTTTTCCTGAGGACGGTGCTGTTCCTCGTCGCCGACAACCCCCGTCCCGACAAAACTACGGCTCCCGCTCGATGCTTCTTCCCTTCTTACACAAGGTGGTGTTCCACCTTGCCGCCGAAAGCCGCCGCCCCAACATGACCAGCGCTTCCGCCCGAGACTTCCTTCCGTTTTACGTTGGGCTGGCGCCCTAATCTCTTTTGAATTGGCGCCGCTCCCAGCAAGAACAACGCTCCCGCTCGTGATTGCCTTTCTTTTTCCTCGGGACGGTGTTGTTCCTCGCCGCCGAAAGCCCCCGTCCCGACAAAACTACGGCTCCCGCTCGATGCTTCTTCCCTTCTAAGTCAAGGCGGTGTTCTTCCTCGCCGCCGAAAGCCGCCGCCCCAACAAAACCAGCGCTCCCGCCCGAGACTTCCTTCCGTTTTACGCTGGACTGGCGCCCTAATCTCTTTTGAATTGGCGCCGCTCCCAGCAAGAACAACGCTCCCGCTGGTGATTGCCTTTCTTTTTCCTCGGGACGGTGTTGTTCCTCGCCGCCGAAAGCCCCCGTCCCAACAGAACTGCGGCTCCCGCTCGATGCTTCTTCCTTTCTTACTCAAGGCGGTGTTCTTCCTCGCCGCCGAAAGCCGCCGTCCTAACAAAACCAGCGTTCCCGCTGGAGACTTCGTTTTGTTTTATGCTGGACTAGCGCCCTCTTCTCTTCAGTATTGGCGCCGCTCCCAGCAACAACAGCAGCCCAGCTCGAGACTTCCTCCCTTTCTATTCAGGGCCAGGTCCTTGCCTCACCGCCGACAGCTCCCATCCTCACCAAGGCAATCCTGTCGTTCGATACTTCCTTGTGCTTTACCGTTCGCTGGGGTTCCACTGGCGGTCTCGCATCGGCGCAGCAAGGCGCGGGCATGTGTTTTCGAGGCGGGATATTTCGAAATTCCTCGGAGGAGGTGTTCGCAAGACCTCATTGGGCGGGTGATCTGGGAATGGTGAATTATTGGACCCCGCTATAGAACAAGAGTCCCCCATGAAATGGATGGTTATCATGATGGTCGCATGTTTCGCGTGGGGGTAACATGATTGTTGTTGATGGTGTTGTTGCTGCTGCTGCCGTTGTTGTTGGTGGTGGTGTTGTTGCTGTTGTTGTTGGTGTTGCTGTTGTTGTTGCTGACGTTGACTTCGCATTTCTGAAGAATCCGCCGGGTCCCTTGCGGGGCCACCAGGCTGCGAGGGTGAGGGTTGCTGCAACCTGCCCCAGTTCCAGATGCGAGTCTCCAATATTACAGTCCTGTTTTCTTGCTTCCGACTGTAACTTGTTACCGTCCGCGCGAGGGCGGGAGCCGAGTTACCTTCCCCCAGGAGGGTTCTCAGAATTTCCTGGGGGTCGTGGGGCACGTAAAAACACGTGAGATCTACACATCCGAGGCCAAACACCTTCGCAAATTGCAGTGCGCTCGCGCTGCCGAATCCACAATCCTTTGCATATTGCGCGATATTCGCGCTGCCGAAGCCATATTCTTCGCACATTGCGCCATATTCGCGCCGCCGAGGCAACAATCCATTGTGAATCGCACTAGATTTGCGCTGCCGAGGCCATAGTCCCTTGCAAATTGGGCCGGGTCCGCGTTGCCGAGGCCACACTTCTAAGCAATTTGCACTTATTCGCGCTGCCGAGGCCACAAACCTTAGCATATTGCGCCACTTTCGCGGTGCCGAGCCCACAATTCTTAGCACACTGCGTCGCATTCCTGCTGCCGAGGCCACGATCCCTTGCAAATTGCGCCGGCGGCAAATTGCGCCATGTTCGCGTTCACTCTCTCCCTCCCTCCTCCCTCTGACTCTTCCCCCTCCTCCGCCTCTTTCCTTCTTGAGGGGGGGCGGCCGCCCCACGGGAACGGCCCTTGAACAGGTCCCGAATCGCCGAAGAGGAAGAGGAGGAGGAGGAGGAGGAGGAGGAGGAGGAGGAGGAGGAGAAGGACGAGGAGGAGGAGGAGGAGGGGCAGGAGAGAAGGGTGAGGGGGGTAAAGATGAATGTGGTGGGTGGGTGGGTGGGTGGGTGGGTGGGTGGGTGGGTGGGTGGGTGGGTGGTGGGTGGTGGGTGGTGATAGTGGTGGTGATGATGGTGGTGATGATTCTGATGATTTTGATGAGGAGGGGTTCGAGGAAGAGGAGGAGACAGAGGAGGAAGATGAGTCCGAAGAGCAGGAGGATATCCAGTGTAAGCCCCAGACGCATCAATGATGTTGCAATGCACCCTCCTTCCAAGGTCCCTCCTCATAGGTCTCTGCAGTGATGTATTTTCGTTTCGGGAAGTGCCCTATTGCAAGACATCCATCTGACAATCCTCAACCGTTCCAGAACACGACTCTTGGGAGATCAACGCCCGGAAGCAACGTGACTGTTGCGTCCTGACAATCCCAAGGGGTGCCCGAGCGCTACCCCTGACACTCCAACGCCGCGAGTCAGCTTGACTGTTGATCGTCCTGACAGTCCTGAACCCTGCCAGAGCACGACTGCGTGTCGGCCGCACGAGTTCTTGAAACGCTTTAGGCTTTTTCAGACGAGCATGCACGGCGTTAGGGCTCTATCCACTTTCTGACAATGAGCCGCCCTCCATCCTTCAAACGCCTGCGCAATTTTTTCAGATTGAAGATGAATGCCCGCGGCGCTAGGGCGAGAGCCACATGTTGAGAACGGGCCGCACTCCATCCTTCAACATGTTGCATTGTTACCAGACGAATGCGCGTGGCGCTACGGAGAGAACCCATTTTGACCCCCCCCCTCCATCCTAGAATCTGCTCCACCTTTCGGATTTGGGACCATGCATGCTGAGAAAATCTCAGGCGGAACGCCTGGCCCGTCCTACAGACACGCGTTGGGGTGCGACAGGGAGGAGTTTGTCAGATAGAAAGGGAAGGAGACGACGAACGGACGAACCACAACGTAACGTTTTTGATTCCTCTTCAGGGCACGCGACTGCAATCACGGTCATGCTTCGGCGTGTTGGTGGCCAAACGAGCACGGGGCGTGCCGACATTATATAATGACCAGCGAGCCAGCAGAACGTCAAATACATCACACCGCAGCGCACACAAGACGCATACGATCAGCATGAGCGTGAAGAGGTCCCGAAAGTATCGACCAGCAAATCTTCGAGCTCAGTCGTACTAGTCAGTACAAAGATGCCGAGAACCGTGCATGCCGATGAGCGCCGCAGCGAGAGATTTACAACTGGGGGTTGAAGAGCCAGAGCAGGTCTAGACCAGATCGATGACCGTGTTGACAGAGGAATCACAGCGTGACTCTATCACTTTCTCTTCCTGACACGCCACTGCAATCACGGGCACGCTTCGGCGCAGTGGTGGCCAAATTTGTGTGCGGGGCGTGCCGACACGAACTAGCGAGCCAGCAGAACGTCAAGTATATCACACCGTGTCAGGAGTCGGAGGGCACCAACTATACACCAACACCAATGCTGGCCCAGGATCACCCTGGGCCCAGGATCGGTGTATATGCCTTCTTGCGCAAGGCAGGAGGGCGTATACACCGATCCTGGGCCCAGGGTGATCCTGGGCCAGGATCGGTGTTGGTGTATAGTTGGTGCCTTCCTAAGGAGGAGACTTTCGAGCTCTACTCCCTATGTCTCGAGGGCGTACCTCACACCGGAGGCACTCTTTGCGCAGTGGAGCTCTCCCCCCTGTCGGGCCCAGGGGCGGTCCCCGACCCCGCGGTGCGATTTGGCCTCCCCTGGGGCCCTGGCCGCCCCGGTCGTTGGGCTCCCCTGCCTCCTCCTCCTCCTCCTCCTCCTGCTCCTCCTCCTCCTCCTCCTCCTCTTCCTCCTCCTCCTCCTCTTCCTCCTCCTCCTCCTGCTCATGCCCACGCGCGGCCTCAAATTGATGACGGCGTCGGGGACGGGAGGTCTGCCCTTACCCGCCCAGCGGCGGTCCCCAGCGTTGATCTGCGATTGTCCATCTATGGTCGTTAAGGGTGGCGGTGACGACGATGAGTGCTACGTCTGTTTTCGACGTGTGCTAGCCGTGCGAATCCGTCCCGGCCAACAGGACCCTCAGGGGGCGGGGAGGGCAAGTGATTGTTCTACCTCACACGTGTTGTCTCCCCCTCTCTAGGACCAGTCCGCCATGCTGCCTGCGGGGCGCACCAGGGGAGTGCTACCATGCCCGGGTCGCGCTTCGGTGGCGCGCGCACAGGGAAGGACGCGACGGGGGGCGACCTTCCAAGGAGGCTGCCCCCCTCGCGCTGCCCCTTTGTTCGCGCCGCCGGGTGGTACATGCCATGCAGCACGTGACCCTGCGACGGAGCGCCGCCCTTGGCCCGGAGTCCGCCGGTATCAACAGATCAGCGCTGTTGGGATGCTGCAGGGTCGCAAAGTTGTCACGGCACGAACCTGCCGTGCCGAGGGGGAAAGCCCGAGGGAGGGCCGTGCCTCTCCGGATCTCACTGCCAGAAGGGGGAGGTGGAGGCGGAGGAGGATACGAAGCAAGGCCAGACGGTGTGCAGCGATGCGCTCGGACGTTCCGCGAGCGCCCCAAGGTTCCAGAGTCGTTGGCGATAAATTGGGCCAGCATCTACAAACAGAAGGCTCGCAAGCCTGCTTTACTGCGGCCGCTCCTTGTGTTTCCTTGGCTGTCTCTCTTCGCCTTCGCTCAGCAATTCACGGTGCTGCTTCTCCTCATCACCTTGCTGCTCCTGCTCTTGACCCTCCTGCCTTTGGCGAGGAGGGATGGGCAATGACTGACTGATTGGCAACGGAGCGGATGAGGAACACGGGGCGCAGGAGGAAGGGTACAAAACTGTTTGGAGAAAGGAAAGGGACAGCTGCTGATCAGGAAAGAGAAAACATGATGAGTAAGTAGGGCTCCCTCCTCCCATCAATCATTTTAGTTCTATGATCTCACCCAGCCTTCGTCGCCCATCTCATCCATTGACCCTCATCGGCTCCTCGTCTGATTGCTCATATATCCCGTTCCCGCAACTGATCGCGTCTATCTTCCTTGCCCCTGCACGTTCGCAGGAGTGGTCCAGCATTGCACGTTGTCTACCAATTGAGATTTTCGCGACGCGCTTTTGCTGCCAGTCGGCGACGCCAGGACAGACTAGGAAAGATCAAGGACGAGTTGTGGATGTGCCAGCAGAAGGAGGAGGCTCCGCCCAGGGCACCGACGCAGAGGGGGGCGGATGATGATGCCGGGTGATGGTGATGGTGGTGACGATGAAGATGCGGATGAGACGAATGAGGACGACAACAGAGAAACAACCGAGGATGAGCAGAGAGGACGTGGAGTGCAAGGAGGAGGGTAATGCGTAGTAGAAGGGGGACGCTGGGGAGGAGAAGGCCTGTGAGAAGGTTCCCCCGCTTGTGCTTGCATTGGAGGGGTCGTAGTGGAATTTTAACTACTTGGTGAAGGAGGCGGGCCGCTGTCGCTAGGCGGCCATGTACCTGGGTTCCTGGTTCCTCGCTCCAGGCCAGTTTCGGTGGGCGGCTGGTATCCCCGAGCACGGTAAGGATGAGAGAGCAGAGGGTATATCTTACATAGCAGACGGTACACGGTATAAAGCCGAGTTGCATCTACATGTCTACACATATATACACATCTATACGACCACCCTTCGGGGGATTTGGAGGGAACGGGGAACCATTGTCTCATTCAAACGATCTCACATTGATCAAATTCTCGATCGCACAATCGATCTCACAATCGATCTCACGATGGATCCTACAACATATCCCACTATCGATCCCACAGTCGATCTCACTTCCGATTTAACAATTGAATTGAATCTTGCTCTAAAAAGCGATCACACGATCGATCTCACAGCAGCTCTCACTATCGATCTCACCATCGATATCACCATCGCTTTGGCAATCCAACTCACTATCGATTTCACATTCGGACCCCCAATCGATCTCACAACAGTGCTAACTACCACTTTCACAGTCGATCTCACTATTGATCTCACCATCGATCTCATTACCGGTCTCACAATCGATCTCACAATCGATCTCAGTATTGATCTCACTGTCGATCCCACTGTAGATCTCACGAGCGATCTCACCATGGATTTCACAACATATCTCACTCTCGATCTCACAACGGATCCCACTCTCGATCTCACCTCACCATCGATCTCACAATCGATCTCACAATCGATCTCACTATCGATCTCACGTCTAACGGTCGATCTCGCAATTGATCCCACTATCGATTTGACAAGCGTTCTCACTATTGATCTCACAAGTGATGTCACGATCAATTTCCCTTTATCGATCTCCCAATCGGTCTCGCCAGCGATGTGGCAATCGAACTCATTATCGATCTCACATTCGGAATCACCATCGATCTCACAGCAGTTCTCACTATTGGTCTCACAATCGATCTCACAATCGATCTCAACATCGATCTCACTATCGGTCCCAGAAGCGATCTCACAATCTATCTCTCGATCGGTCCCAGTATCGATCTCACTGTCGACCCCACATAGATCTCACGAGCGATTTCAACATCGAACTCACAAAAGATCTCACTATCGATTACACAACAGATCCCACTATCGATCTCACAACATATCTCACTATCGATCTCACAATTGATCCCACTATCGTTCCCACTACAGATCTCACCGCCGCGCCACCGACGGACCACCCCACGCCACCGGCGGGACACCCCGTGCGACCGAGGGGACACCGCCGCGCCACCGACAGGACACCGATAGGACACCGCCGCGCCACCGACGGGACACCCCTGGCCACCACGCGCCGAGGGGGGGGCGGACAACCAGCTCCACAGCCCCTAGCTGCGGCGGCATCATTCCCTTCGTGCACCCACGCAGCTTCGCCTCGCCCGCACGCGCGGCGCGAACACGACACCGACACCGATTTCCTGGTGGGGGGGCTACGTAGGTGTGTGTGTGTGTGTTTGTATGAGTACCTTTTTGTATCGAAGACGCCTACGGCGAATCACCGCCGCCCCCTGCCTTTTGGAATAAACTATGTGGCCAAACGTTGCGGCCAGAGCTTGGAGAAGCGATCGGACTACGTGTGCCCCCACGTTGCCAGCCCGTCAGAAGAGGAAAAGAGGGAGGAACACGGAGGCGGAAGAGGAAGAGGCCTTTTGGAAGTCTCTTCGGCCTTTCTTGTGGCCTCCTGGGAGCTTCCTAGGTGCCTCTAGGAGCCTCCTGGGGGCATCCTGGGACCTCTTGGGGGCCTTTAGATGCTTCTTCGGGTGCTCTTTGGTCGTCTGCGGGCGGCGTTCTTGGCCCGTCTGACGCCGTGGGAAGCCGTCTTGCGGACCCTTCTGGGCCGACTTGGGGCCCTCTTGGAGCGCTTCAGGGCCGTCTTGGAGACCATTTTGGGTGTCTAGGGGATCTCCTGGGCCGTCTTGAGGCCCTCTTGGGGCCGTCTTGGGTTCTCCTTGTGCCGTCAGGAGGCCATCTCGGAGGCTTCTTGAGCGCTCTTGGGACCATCTTGGCGTTTGGGGCCGTCTTGGGCCGTCGGAAAGCTGAATATGAGCAAACGCCAAAGTCTTTCAAACACTTGAAACATGAATGATGCCGGCTTCTTTTGGCCATCCGGGAGGTCCTCTCGGGCCGTCTTGGAGGCCTTCTGGGCCGTCTTGTGCGATTTTGAGGCCATGTTGAGGCCATCTTGGGGGCATCTCGGCCCGTTTTGGAGACCTCTTGGGACCGTCTTGGAGGCAATTTTTGGTCATCTTGGTCGTCGTGGAGGCATCTTCGCGGCCATGTCGAGCGATCTTGGCCGTCTTGGGGCGTCGTTTTGTTGGACGTTGAGGTCTTTGCGCGTCCTTGCGCGTCCGTCCGGGTGGCCGGCAGGCTGGGCCGAAGGCCCACTGGAGAGTAAGAGACAATAAAGCAAAAGCCAGCGCTCGATGCGCAGTACGCCCTTGTGGCAATCGCAGGGTGCGGCCTATCCGTCGAAGACGCCTGTGGCGAATCACCGCCGCCCCCTGCCTTCTGGAACCGCCCATGTGGCCGAGCGTTGTGGCAAGAGCTCAGCCAAGCTATCGGACCATGTGTTCCCCCAGCCGTTGTGGGAACCCTTCGGGGAACACTTATGGGAGGATGGCGGGGAAGATCAGGAGGTGGAGGAGGAGGAGGAGGAGGAGGAGGAGGAGGAGGAGGAGGAGGAGGAGGAGGGGGCATCTTGGGAGCCTCTGGGGGCACTCTTAGGACCTCCTGGGAGCTTCCTGGGAGCCTCTTGGAGGCATCTTGAAGTGCTCCTTGGGCCTCTTGGGTGCCTTTGGGGGCTTCTCGGGGGGCCTCTTTGCACGTCTTATGGCATTCCTGGCCCGTCGGACGCCGTCCGAAGCCGTTATGCGGGCCTCTCTGGGCCGACTGGGGGCCTTCTTGGGGTGCTCCAGGACCGCCTTGGAGGCCATCTTGGGCGTCTTGGATGTCTCTTGGGCCGTTTCGGGGCCCTTTTGTCCCGTCTTGGGGGCCTCTTGGGCCGTTCTGGGGCCATCTTGGAAGCCTCTTAGGCGATCCTCGGGCGAACTTTGGAGGCTCTTGGGCCGTCTCGGACCGTCGGATGGCCGAAAAGAAGCCAATGCCACAATCCGTCAAAACCCTAAGGACAATCACTGATTTTGGCATCTTCGGGCCGTCCTGGAGGCCCTCTTGGAGGCCTCTTGGGGCCGTCTTGGACCTCTTGGGCTATCTTGGAGCCAGCTTGGGCCGTCTTGGTGGCCTCCTGGCCCGTCTGACGCCGTCGGAAGCCGTCTTGTGGGCCCCTCTGGCCGACTTGGGGCCCTCTTTGGGTGCTCCAGGGTCGTCTTGGAGGTCATCTTGGGCGTCTTGGATGCCTCTTGGGCTATTTTGGGGTTCCTTGGGGTCGTCTTGGGGGCCTCTTGGGCCGTTCTGGGGCCATCTTGGAGGGCTTTTGGGCGATCTTGGGACGATCTTGGGGCGATCTTTGGGGGCTCTTAGGCCGTCTCGGGCCGTCGGAAGGCCGACACGAAGCAAATACCCAAATCCTTCAAAACCCTGAGGACAATCACTGATTTTGGTCTCTTCAGGAAGGCCCCTTTGGTGCGTTATCCCACTGCCGTGAAGTGACGTCCCGGTAGCTTCGTGGCGTCTTGAATCGACAGCGCGGAAGTGGAACGAAAGCGCGGCAGTGAAAGTGTCGGGGCGGTGGTCGTCGTGCCGCTTGTGGAGGGCGTATTTCCTTGACGGGCGCATGACGTTCCCGAGCCCCTTGTCTCCCCGCTGCCTGGTCCGCCTGGGGCGCGGGCTCCGTTGATGGGTGCCGCGCCTGGGAGCTGTGCCGAGAACAGTCCCTCGAGCGTGGGTGCCACTGCGATGGCATCAGCATCCGCGCAGATTGCGGCGCGCATCCAGACTGCGCTTGCACGACGTTTTGAGGGCGTTTTGCTTCGTCCCGCCCAAGCTGGCCAACCTTTTGGACAATCGGTGTTGGTCGGTCCCAGATCTGCGAGCGCTAGAGGTCTGCCTTGCTTTCGGACCTGCTGGGGCAGACGATCGGCTTTCTCTGGGGTGTGGGGCGAGATGCTACTGGCGCACGACGTCCCGTCGCCCTCCTTTCGCGGGTGCGGTGGCCACCGTGACGTGCCAGCGCTGTGCGTCCAGGCTAATGAGAGGGGGCTTGCTGCTACTTTGGCGTGCTTTGGCTTCGGCCGCGGCCCCTGGCGGGTCGCGGTCTGAGGCCGCTTTGCGCGCGGGGGAAATGTGCAGCATGATGTAGTCGAGACTGTCTCCCCCTCGCGCAATGTCAGTAGCTCGCCCGAGGTCATGGCTTGGTCGGAGCAGATGTGTTGTAGATCGCATCGAGATCTGCGTGATGCTTGTGGGCCAGGTCGCATTATGCAGCGATGCCTCTTTCGACGCCACCAATGCTGTGGAGTGCGGCGGCGCAGGTTTCCTTCTGGGGCAGGTTGCTGTCTGGTGAGGTAGCTTTTTGGCGGCCGTTGTTTGGTGGCTTGGGCTGCCTGGTGCAGGGGGCGCACGGCGGGGGCCTTTCGGAGCCATGCCGCGCGCGCGGGAGTGAAGGGATGTGACGCCTATCTGTCACGCGTTGGGAGGGGGCCGTGTCCGGTCTCGCGAGGGAAGAGTGGATGTGGGGCTTTTGGCGTGCAGAGCGTTCGAGCCAAGAGTAGAAAAAGAGATATAGAGAGAGAACGAGGTACAGAGAGAGGGA